GTAGTCAACTGCAGCCATATGGAACCAATATGGAAGAGAGATGTTTTGTAAGGAAGAAAATTGTTTTGAGAGGGCAACAAAATATCGAAAAGAGGTTCGTGTTAAAACAGTATTAGCAGTCAGTGGTAATTAGTCTTTAGTCTTAGTCTTTTATTTTATTTTCCCCAGCATTTACAATTCTAACCAGCAGGTGGAGAAATGAGAAGCAAGTTTGCCTATTGAAACATGAGGGAGCTACAGTACTGTAGCCAGATTGTATAATCTTGAAGTGGAACTGGGCCAGGACAATTTGATGACAATTTAATGCCAGTAGTTAAATAGTGAGGGTTTCAGTTTAACATCTCATCCAAAGACAATATTTCCCACATACTTCCAGGGCAGTTAAATATACATAATGCACTGTGAGAATCAGATCCTCTCTGGATTTCTTATTTTTTCAGAAATAGTTTATATTTCCCCTACTGTTCTTCTTTTTTGTCTTTCCATTTTTTTCCACTGCATTAAAAATATTTTTTCTACATTTGAAATACTGTACGTATCTCACAGGTTCAAGTGAGCTGCTCTTGAAATGCTTTTGTGAACATGCGGACAAACTCCTCAGTTGTCTATATCTTCTACTGTGTTTGTGTTTATGCTTTAAAAAACAATCACATTTTGTCGTTTTGGCAAGTTCATGGGCTAATTCAAAACTTTTTTACCATGCAATAGCATATTGATAAGTGTACTGTACAATCATATACAGTACACTTATCAATATGCTTAAAGCAATAAGCAAAAAGTGTGTAGTCGTTTTAAATATGACTCATACTGTACTTCTGAATTGATGAAAGCTACTCACTGATCACTATACCGTATTATAATAATTAACATGAAATAACTGTCATTATTGTGTTTAAATGCATCTACAGTAAATGGCATTATATTAAAGTATGCTTAAACAAGATCATATTGTTTTTTGGCTTCTGTAGAAAACCTCTTTATCTCCAAAAAAATGCCTGACAAGTTTCTTTATGGTTTCATTCCTCCAGGGTATTTCCTGATAGGTCACGTGTTATAAAACACCGTGATATACAATATTACATAGTATCAAATACTGTAAATGTATTCTTACATAATGCTTCTACAATGTTTTAAAACTGCATAAAGCAAGGAGAGAGCTGTTTCTGCCAATTCGCATTTGCAGATAAAACATGAATTATTTTTCTCACTGCCGCTAATAAGCTTCCATAGTTTTTAGTTTCTGATTTCCTTTTTTAATCTTTACTGAGTGAAGTCACCAGAATGTATTTAAAAAGAAACCATTCTTTTTTTTATTATACTTTATGGAAATTTGTAAGCATTGAGAGGGAGTAGATGGATTACACAACACATCATTTAGCTTTTTTAAATTCTTTAATTCAGAAATGTCACTTTGAGAACACATTCTCATTGTCCATGACAAACCAAAGGGCACTCATTTGTACATCAAGCATCTTGACTTATAATCACAGGTACCTGTTTTTGCTTTATAACAGTCTTTTAAAATGAAGGACAGACTCTGTCCACATCAACAATAAAACGGCAAAACTCCAAACCTAGCATTAGAAGGTGACAGACACAATAACACACTGGCATGTGAATCGTCTTGATTTGGCTTTTAGTGGGTGTGCTGAAGTTTCACTGCAATCTTTCAATTTGATGCCTAGCCCACTTCTTCATTGTACAATAGCTTGAATCCTTATTGACATTTATATGTCACATTTGTAATCCTGAAAGTGTCTCTGCTATGTCATCAACATCATCCTGAAAGGTTTGCGATGTTCTGTGTAACACATCACAAATACAGTAATATTAGTGAAAAGCCTACAGTATAGTAAGGCTTCAATAAATTCTGCTTATATTAATATTGCTATATTAATAAACAGATGGATTATACAGCAGCAGTGTTTATGTAATGGGTTAAAGAATACATTTTAAAGCTTTCCTCAACAACCACTGTAAAGACTGGATGGTCTGTTAGTTAAGGCCATAGTTAAGATATGGCATGTTCATTTTTATTGTGGGTTTGTTTTTTGTCTTGAATAGATTGTGTTGAATCTTATCAGTTTCATGTTTATTTTTTATACAGTTCTATTTTCATTTTCTAAACCGCAAGCCTCACACAGCATTCCCCCTATTACCCAGCGGAGACCCTCAACAGCCAGCCACCCCGTTAGGTGCTGACAAAGGTCTTTTTAAATGCGATGGCCCACCATTTAACCTGAACCCCCAAACCCAGTGCTAACCCTCTGAGCACTTGTAGTACAGATCGTTCACAAGTGCTCTTGAAAGGAAGTCAGTTGTGGTTCATTTTCTCTGTATAAGAGGAAGAAAGAAAAGCCACAAAGCCCATGTTGTTTTTCGTTTACCACACCAATAATGCAACTACTTACTGACTGAATTGAGGCCCATTTAACAATCAGCTTCGAAAATCCTCAGTAATAACTACATTTACAGAAAGAGCAGGTGTTTGCAATGAGGGAAAACTGCATTGTGAGTTTTTTTCCCACTTTTTTTGTCATTCTTCCCGTTTCTGTGTTTATATATTGTCATTAAGCGAAACGCAGGAAGAACAATTACATTCAAAAAGTGTGGTTCAAGCTTGATAGGTTCCAAAAAAATAACCAAATTAAAAAGTGTTTGTTTCAATTCCTCCTTCTTGGAGGCAAACATCAGCAAAGCAAACGTTCAGTAATAAAACAATTAAGTACTGTATATACTAATGCCAAATCCAGTAAACTTTCATTTTTCCCCCCCTGGGCACTTGCGAAGTAAAAACTTTAATTAAATAAGCATCTTGAAAAAGGGAAAAACGTCTTTATCGGGGGGTAAATAAAAAAGCAGCTGTTTGCCAACAGATTGTACATGTGCTCACTATTACTCAAAATACAACAGGCTTTTTAGTACATTTTAATAGTAAATTGACAAGTCTATAATATTGTCAAGTCTAATGTAGACACTGAAGTAGTACAAAAATAAGCTTGCTATCTTGAAAATCTAAAACAGTTTGGCAGTTGTTCAACTTAAAGTAATTGAGTTTAAGATATTTTCTGCAACCAAGTAAAAAAGTAAAAAATAACTTTTTTAAACAAAAATAGAAGCAAAAAGTACCATACTTAAAAAGCGAAAGGAAAAACAGCAAACCTTAAAACACGGTGACTCTAACAATACACTAATGTATTAATAATAGGCAAAAATTATATCTACAGTGCCTTGCAAAAGTATTTGTCTTCTTCCTATGATGTCTCACTTTGTTGAATTTACCAATGTCATATGTAAACTATAAATTCAAACTTAACACTTGAATGTGTGAAACAAAATCTGCAAAAACGTCAAGAAAAATCAAAACTGAACTGCTGACTGCTTAAGTATTTACTTCCACCTCTGTGCTGTGGTGAACCGAAATTATGTCAAGGACACAAAATTACTTTGAAAAGTCTCGCAATTAGTTGAATGGCCACCGTGAATATGTCACGTAGCAAATTCCAAAGTCACTGAATATCCCTTCGAGCACGGTGATTGTCTATCGTGAGATGGATGAAAATGTCAGTTTTAATATCCCAGTGACTCCAGAAAGCTGTTCTACTGTATACTGTATGGCAGAGTGATGAACCCATCTCAAATCTTGTTTCTTTTAGCTTAACAAGACAAATGTCCTTGGTGACCCAGTGAATCTCTTGACTTGAATCGGATTGAAAATCAGTGGAAAGACTTGACAATTGTTGGCCGTCAACAATCCAACCAACTTTACCAAGCTTGAGCAAGTATGCGAAGAAGTGAAAGGGTGAAAACTCCAGTTTATAGACATGTATCTAAGACGATTTTCAACTGTCATTGCTTCCAAAGGCACTTTCACTATTGAATTCAATTAGGGCTGAATAATTAACAGTCAGCATATGTTAGTTTCTGGTCGTTGTTTTTGTTAAATATTAGCTGACATGCTGATATGTAACTTCCTTCCCCTCCGTGAGCTAGATTGGTCAGATTGCGCAACAATATTTGGTTTAAAATCTGTGTATACATTTCAAGTATATAGCTGTATTGTGAAATGGTACAACTTGAACTTATGAGTTTAAAATTGAATAATTCAACAAAACGGGGGTAAATTTAGTTAACTCATTCCACGAAAAGGGGGGTATATGGGTTTGAAAAAACCATGAATATTAATGCTTCTTTGCTATTATTGCCCATGAGGAGAAACGTGATGATGGTGCAGTACTACCAATATTAGAGTACTGAATGCATTTCACATATTCTTCTCTGTGTACACTATTCAGAAGACAAGAGAAAGGACTCATTTAGCCTTGACTCAAAAAAAGCAAAAGTGTCAACAGGGATTCATATTAACAGAAAAATATACATTCCAAAAAAGGAACTAATATGGAAATGCATGAGCTTCATACAGTATATGCGTTTTTTTGGTACAGATTAGGCATTCAGGAAGACTGAACACGAGATGGAACAGTTCTGAAACCTGAAATAATAATTTTGCTACCTTGTCTGCTCTGGCTACTGCTCATCATAAAAAAAGTGATACCGCAAATTGTGCTTGTAGTAGACAAGCACAAATTAATGTGGTGATCTACCCAAAAAATATGATTTAAGTGCATCGTTGCTAGCATTTGCATATATTTCATCCAAAGGGACCTTAAGTGCTATATTTAAAAAGAGATCCACATCACCCACCTCTGATGTGACTTATGTGACCCCTAACTATACCTTAATGATGCCCAGTAGTCCAGCCACCCAGCCATGTGAAGAAGATAGCCACTACCCAGGGTTACATTTAGCTGGGAAACTGGGGTCAACTCCCTATAGTACAGTAGCTGTTGAAGGATAGCAGGGGGGGATGTATAGTTGAGCCATCTAGAGAGCCATGAATGGTAATCGGTTGTGAAGGTTTTTAAGGCTGATCTATGCAGCACAGCTGCAGATGATACTCATTTTTGGTCTCTTTAAACAGAGAGGAGACAAAGAAGAGGGAAGCAAGACAGGAGTAAATTGGGAAAGTTCACAAAGAGAGCACACAAGGGTAACATCAGTAATGAGAGAGAGCAGTGCTCTTATCTTATGAAGGCTCTGGAGCAGCCTCTTTGAGATCTTCCATTCTTGTCAGAAACCTTGAGGAATTTTTTAACACAGTATGGTCACTGCTCATGGAAAGGCAGAAAAAGTAACAAATGGAGATCAACGAAGAAGTCAAATATGAAAATGTTGTGAATTAAAGTTCCTGTCCCTTGAGGGCTCCTGCATTCTGGCTTGGACTTTCCTCATGTCCATATATTCGCTGTTTGCATCTGGATCACCTCGTCTTCTTTTCTGAAACAGATTTTGCCATAGATTTGGAAGCAATCTTAACTTAAAATGTTGAGCTTATCACTCTGCAATGGGGAAAACAAAATGACCCGAAGATAAATGTACACAGTCAAGGGCAGAAATATCAGACCGTACGGCACTGTACAGCAGTACAGACATTGTGCTCCATTGGAATTTTCAAACCAGACTGTGCCATTGAGCTCTACCCTTTAAAACCAGTTTTGAACCATGACCTATGATCTCATTTATCGAAACAGTTTCAAAGGAATATATCAAACCTTGTGATTTTTTTAGGACAAAAATGCTAATGTTGTCTTTTGTAAGGATTTGAGAACTTTTATTTGAGTTCTTCCTCTCCTGTTCTCCATGCAGAGTACAGGTAATTGATTCATTTATTACTGCCTGGACCTGTTGTAGGTGAGCAGACAATGGGTCTGGACAAGGAGAGCAGGATCTGGAAGAAACTGCAGGAAATGGTTCAGCACACAGGCAAGCATGCACAAAGAAGTACAGTAAGAGGCACTCCAAAACAAAGGGTGATCTCTCCGCCACCTCTCTCCTGTGCTGATCGATTGTGTTCTGTCTTTCTCTTTGGTGGCTTATTTTCCAGTTTTATCTCCAGGGTGTTCAATAAAACGTCTACTTTTTGGGCCTACCATAATCCTAGGGTGTGTATACTCTGTAAGAGTGCCGCTTCTATGTGAGAAACATAAAAAATATATATATAAAAATAAAGACTTTGACTGGCAGATATAATTTAGAGAAAATATTTCAACAGTATATTGATTTCTTATTATATTGGTTTCTTAACTCTAAATTCAGTAGTTCAGTCAAATTCCAATAACAATGAATCAAGCTGACAAACATGCAGTAAAGGGATAGCATATTTAATGTGTTTAGCCTGCCCGTCTGGAGAAATAACAACGCTTGCTGAAAATCAACCCCGTCACAACAAAGCCCTAGCTTACAAGGAATGTACCAGCTGCAAGGGTGCCATTGGGGTGGAGGGAGGTGATTTAGAAAAGATGCGATCAGAGCTATGGGCAGCCAGCGAGCATATATACTCTATAGAAGAGTTGTGCAAGATCAGAGTGTGACTTCCTCTCAAACTTCTGTTACAGTATGTAACCACCACCTAAAATAAAGGTTAGTGGGAAATATTCTCCACAGATTATGTTTGCCAAAGTATTTTCCTGTATTTCTCTCATAATCTCACACAATCTTACTCAGTATGTAATGGTAGAGTCAGTGCATATAGAAACAAAGGGTATGTCAGAATTACGCCAATATATGAAATATGTAAGTGAATGTGAAATTCTACTTTCAAGTGAAGTCTTAAAATCCTAAAATCTGACCACAGCTAATCCCTATTTCCGTCATCTTTATCATATTGAGAGCACCTGATTCACACATGGATAGGAAGATCACATGATTATACTGTATATGCAATATGTTTTTCATTTGGGTATGAAGTGGGATATATATACTGTATACATTGCACACATCCAGCTCTACAATATTCTTTCTGAATCACATTGTGGAAGGCATTAGAGTATTTGCTGGGATCTGTTAATTTAGCCTTTGCCAAAGGTATAGTAATGCAGAATAAAGGTAACTTACTTTAACAGCTGTAGCAACTAATTGCCTTCTACAAGGTGCTGAGAGTAGAAGGAATCACATCTAATGACATGAGTAACTCTGATAGTGTGAAACCAACTTTTGTCACATGTGAAAGACAGTATCAACACTCACACGCGTCCTAAAAAAAGACATTTGAAGTGTGAAAGAAACCTCTTTCTGAACCTGTGTACCTTATATAAGAGTTCGGAAGCCCTTGCAGTTGGTCTGTTCTGCAGGGCTGATCCAGTGTGTGTTACAGTCCTTAATGAGCTCAAAGACACAAGATGAATTGAACTATTACTTAATTGCATCCATCACTAATTATTGTTTCGATTTTTCAATTGGAAGTGATTTAGCATCGCAATTTGTCTACCGTTAAGCTGCATGTGTTCGGCAAAGTGCCTTTGCTCATTTTATTTTCCTTCTCAGACGTCAGGTTGAGTGTTCTCTAAATACCTAGCCTGTTTTTACCTGTTTGCAGGAGACAGAAAATCTCAAATCTTATCACAAAATATCAACTGTAATTCTTTCATAGAAAACTGACAAACGTTTGCAGTCTTAGCCTCTACGAAGCCTGTTAAGAAGCACGTATTTACATCTATTATATATTTCTATATCTTGTATTTATTACAGAACTAAAATTCTATGTGGATGGCACAGTGGTGTCTCGCAGAGCTCTGGGTTCCTTGTGTAGGGTTTGTACAGTGAGTTCTCTCCATGCTCACGTGGGTTACCTCTGGGTGCTCTGGTCTCTTGCCACAGCCCAAAGACATACTGGTTTGTTAGTGTCTGGGAAAATTGGACCTGTTGGGAGTGTGTGTATCGGTGTGTGTGCTCCTAATGGACTGGTGTCCTGTCCAAGGTGTACCCTGCCCTGTACCTGTTGCATGCCAGGTTAGGCTCTGGCTCCCCAGTAACCAAAATGTGGATGAAGACATTAGAAAATGGATGGAATATTACTGTATACAGTTCCATGTCTTATTGGCAAAATATGATATGTAAAATTAGCATTTTATATTTTGGCCCTATTGTATCCGCACAAAGAAAGGAGATGGCTGATACTGTTTCCATCTCCTCACAAGCCCAGACACACTATGAGCCCCTGGTCCTTTGCTGCTGTTTTAGTGTGGGGACTGCTCTCTAATGCAATCCCACTTTCCTTTTTTAAACATCGTTAGCGCATCGTTAGCACAACAGATGAAACAAATCTGAATTTTACCTGTCTCGATGGGCTGTCTCCAGCTTGCAAGTGGACCTGAAAGACAACATTGAGGGAGAGGTTAAGAGTGGGAACAGGCGACCCCCCACAGCCTCCGCAGAATACAGTCAATGGCAACTATACTCTGCTGAGTCTCTCTATTTCTCGTGCAGGCATCACAGTGTGAGTGTGTACATGATATTTTCAGCAGTCACACTGGGGTTTTGCTCTGCTCTCCCTGTACTGTACAGTACCTGCCCATTGCTGTGTGCCTCAGAAAGGTCCATTTCTTCATCAAGAGAAACCTACAGTATACACAAATAAAAGGTCTTGGAGTGAAATTGAAGGATGCAGCTTGTCAAATAATGCTTGTCCTTAAAGAAATCATTGCTTTACATTTAAAAGCTTGCATGCTTCACTGTGGATTCTGAAGAAAGCCCCCTGCATTGATTCTGTTGGTGCCTTCAAGGATTTTGTATCCTTGTACCAAAGTATTGGTAGTTCTTCAGCAGAAGCCCGTGAAGAAGGACGAAACCAAATTGCTTTTAAAAAATCCCAGTGAACGTCAATAAATATCCCAAGACCAGAGAACCAATTTCTCTTTTTTCGTACAGTTTTCGCTGGGTATATACATTGTCTCTTGGGTGGGTCATATCAGATGCTGGGGTAAAAACAATCCTATTCTACCTAACTATCTATATGTGCTGGTGGCACTGAGCAGTGAAGAGCTCGCCATCAGCATTACGTTCCTCTCAAGCAGTAATTGTCAAGCAGGTACAAGAGGCATTACATTACTCTATACAGTACATTAATATAGATTTAACGACTGTTTATATTGTATACACTAATACAGTCCAGAGAAGGGAAACCCAGTAATGTACTTTTGACTTGATGTCCTACCCTGACAGGGTAAAGGAACGGAGCCTTTTAAGCCTTGTCGAGAGCATCCGAAATCCTTAGAGACCCTGACAAGATTAGGAAAGTAGACTTATTCAGACTGAACAATGGAACACGTACAGTACCAGTGAATACAGGTGCCTATGTGTAAATGCAATAAAAACTGAGAACAGGAGGCACTCCTTTAAGCGAAGGATTGTGGGAATGTGGAACAAGCTACCCAGCCATATTGTCAACATTGAAACCCTGATTTTTCAAGAAATGACTGGATAAGATCCTGGGATCAATTAGTTACTAACTACCCAATGATGTATTGAATGACCTATTTCCTCTGTAAAATTCCGTGTGTTCCTATATTCTACGTGGCTCACTAATTTCACTGTTTTCATTTCCTTTAAAAATGTGTAAATAATCTATTCTTGGTATGGAAAAAGTTATTTTCTTAACAGGGGCATCTGTTAGAAATGGCTCAAAGTATTCTGCTTTCCAATTACAGTAATTACTTACGGTACCACTGCATTTGTGTTCGATCAGTATAATAGTTAACTCACTTATTTTTACTTGTTAACTTGGTAATACTATACTATACTCTAATCTTCAATGTCCCTTCAGGATCAATACAATCCCATCTTATTTTATCTTATACCTTGATACGATACCAGTTATATCAAACACTTGCTTATGACTTTGCTTGTTGTGATTGGTCCACAAATCTGCTATCTGCGTACACTTTAGTGCATGTTTACATCCATGTGAGCACATCTGTGTATGTGTGTCCATTTTCTGGTATGTGGCAAACCATTTCCCCTACCAAATATTTCTGTTACAACTGAAAGTCATTTGGCTGGACAATAATAACAGAATTTCAGGCAAAATACTATATGTTCATACAGTAGCTTGTTTTGCTTTATTGGGTCGAGAGTTAGTGACTAAAAACATTTTGAATATTTTATCATGAAAACAGGTGCATGGTTCAGTGATCCTAAACAATTTTACAGGTTTTAAAAGTGTTTCTAGTTACCTCTCGGTAACTGAATGTTTTTGTGTTCAGAAGCTCAGCTTGGAAGCATTTTTTTATTAGTAGATCTTCCAAACCTGAGCCTCCATACATACCCTTATCTTGAGTCTTGAATCAAATTACATTTATGTTATAATTGTTTTGCGTACTTGTCATGCCTTTCAAATGCTTCAGGAAATAGATAGTGGGACCTTTAAAGACCCTTTGACCAGAACACTTTCTTAGTTCTTAACTTACAATACAGTGGCGTTCAAGCCAAATTTACTGTACATACTATGAAAATGTTACATTTCCATCATTTATTTTACTATTTAATCTCATTTATAGGAAGAACATGCATACATTTGTGTTGAATTAAGAGTTACATATTTAGTGCTTACACTTACCTTCAGCTTCAAACAAGCAAAGGTCACACTTATGCTGTAAATAATGGAAAATGCAGCAACTCCAACCAAAATCCATAGAAGACTATCATCCAAACATATAGAAGGCTTTGTGTCTTCTGTTTTAATTTCTAGGGAAGGAAATAAAGACAAATCACTATATAGTCTTTTTGTTTTTGTTAGTTCTGTAAGTTCTAACATTAATTGTAACATCCTCCTGGTAAAGTGCAAGAGATTCTTTGGAATCCAATGCCTTATTGCTGGGAGGAAAGTAGCAGTTCTGAATACTTATTATTTCCTTATTATTAGCAGTTGTAGGTTAAGGGTCAATGCATGAGTTCTGTCCCTAACAGAACTTGTGCCACACAAATAATGTATAATGTAACAAGAACCAGAAAGCCAGTTTAAATCCAATTTCAATATCAAATGTACCAGTAGACCTGAGAGGTAGATAGCACCTATTTCATATCCTTTAGCCAATTAGGAAGAGAAATATAGTGAAACAATCTGAAACTTTATTTTAGACGCATTCAAGTAGAAATGACGGCATAAACATCACAGTGTCAATTAAATTATCTGATATTCAAACACATTCATGCTCTTTTGAACACATTTACAAAAAAGTCCAATCTCCATTTTGTTATTGTAAATTACAATACATTGTTAATGCGAACTTTCAAGGATTTTAAAAGTTCATTTTCTTTTCTTTTTTCCACTTAAGAAATAACATTGGGTCTGTTAGATATCATGTCCTGGGACACCTTTCATTCACAGGGGAAAGGGATCATTCTCTGGCTTTCAGGACATTCTCTAGCAGTTTTGAAAATAAAACATCCAGATCATGTTATTGAACTCATACATCTCCAAATGCTGGTAGATGAATCCTTGATGAGTTCCCATGCTCATATGGATTTTTCTAATATACGTATCGCATAAGCACAATGTTTTTAATCAAAAGATCACATAACCAACTGAATCATGAATCTATAAAATATCAACAGGACTTCTCCATCCAAGCCTAAATTTAGCCCACGTTTTCTAACCCTTGTTCACTAAACTAATAATATCCTTTCTCTTTTCGTAAGTACTACTGGGAATTCTGCTTTTAAAGGTTTATGACTACTCATAGAGAAAATACAGAGAGAACCCTTTATTAAAGCTATTATAGCTACCCTGTAAGCTTCTTCCGAGTTCATTGTGGAGGAAGGAATAAGCACCTACCAGGAAAGACCAACAATGTCCCATCACCATCTCTGCTCACAAAAGGAAGTGGGAGTTTTCTGTGCACTCTGCAAACATACAGATCGGTATCGTTGTGTGTAAAATTGAAGATGTTGAAAGTCACACTGCCTTCCTTTTCAGACATGAGGCAGCTCACACTTTTCTGGATATCATTGCGTAACTTGGCACAGGGTAGGGAGTCATTGTGTACTCTCCTCATCAAATGAACTTGTACGTCTGAAAAGTTTTTTGTGGGGCTTGTGTAGCTGCACGTAAAGGTTACAGTTCCATTGGTGCTTGCAGTCTGTCGATGGGGTTGTGAAACCTGGAAGGCTTTTAGAAAAAAATCAAGAAATTAGACACATTTCTCCAAGATCTTTGGGTTAAACCCAACTTACACCAGTACACCTATAAACAACTGGCATTTTAGCAGAGCAGAGAGAGCAAGGTAACTCAAGTTGGGTCTCAAGTCTTTTGGCCACACTGGAGGGTTGGTGGAAGTAGGAACTAGCTATTTGGCCCCATAACAGTGTGTTTTTACCTCAAATCAAAGCTAGTTTTATTTTTGTTAACAAAACAAACAATAGTGATCATTGAAACCTGTGTCTTGTGTTATTTTATGTCTCCATCAAAGCCTACACATCGTTAGTCATCAGCATTAACCATCAACATGAATTAGCATAGCTTAGCTAGTTATTTAAATAGGTGACACATATCCTTGGCATAACTGAAGCTCATTCTTCAGGTCTGCATGCTCCTCCCTAGAACTGTAAGGACAGGTTGGTTGTTGCCTGCTCCTTTTGCTTATGTGGGGATTCCAAAGTTCCCGCAGAGCATGGACAGGAGCCACTGCTAACAGGGTCCACTCATGCTTGTCGACCTTAGACATTGTGAAAAGACAGCACTGCATAGTAAAATAAAAAAGACAGCAAAATGAAAACCTTTCAATTCCTCAAGAAATGTTACTTAACTCCGTCACAATTTAATCTGACATTCCCTTGAACAGATCCCTCGTTATTTGCAAGAACAAATAGCCTAAAATACCATTATACCTAGAGTGCAGCGTTACACACTTAGAAGGACATTTAGCAGTAAAGCAAACATAGAATGTTAATATTACAGTAGAAAGTGTAATCATTTTGTTCCCAGCAGTCTATTCAGAACAGCAAAGACATTCTCAAACCAGGATTTAAGTGTACTGTACATGACATTTCTGCAATTTTGAAGGGTACTACCAGTCTGTGTCTCTTTGTAGGTGTGTACTGTATTTGATGGGTTAATCTCACAATTATTTTCAAATGGTAGAGTGATTAATTGCCCGTTTGCTTCAATTATACTGCAGGCTAAACATTGTTTCTGTTTATCTGTGCTTGAATCTCTGGCCTGTTTTACAGATGTGTGCGCACCTTGTAGACAGTTTTATCACCTTCGGGTGAAAATTTGGAATTGCTGTCACATTGCTTTCAGATCGCATGAATCTAATGTAATGAATCTTTATTTTTTAAGAAGGTGTCTGTCTCATCTATTATATTTTTCCCAAGATTTGTTTTAAGTATTAACATTTTTTTTAAAAAATTGTTTTAGTAAAAAAAACCTCAGTGTAGTGCAGTTTCAATTAGATGGGGATCTTCAACTCAGTAAAGCAACTGAAACTATAAAGAAACAGAAACAGGACTGTTGTCCTCTTTATTTTAATCAGATATGCATTTTCGGGGCATTGAGCATTTTTTACAAACTGCAATGTAACATTATTTTAGTTTCTGTTAATGTTTCATCAATCTGAGGTATGGTCTGGGATTTCCAAGTCATGATATTGTTAGACTTGAATGTCAGAATGAAAGAAACACAGAAAACTCTGCCAGATAGTTTAGAAGAGAATTAAGGTTTTTGATCCAAAATCTTTTCTGTGAAGCAGTTTCCTGAAAAAGGTGCTATTTTTACCATTCCATGATGGATATACTTATGTCAAGTTAAACACAAAAAAGTCTCTATAACGTAATTTTTGAAAATTGTGCTTTGCTCAGTCGGGCCATCAAAACAGCCACAGCATGAACAGGATTACCTTTAACAGACTGAAACTGTAAACAGTTAGCTTCAAATACACATTAAACTTTAATCACATCCCTGCATCATTTCAGAACATGTTTTTAAGTAATTCTGTCTTTGTGGGAAGAATGGAAATAACTTTGACTAAAAAGCCTTAAAATAACGTTGTAGCTAACGACGAATGTTTAATCTCTTGCATGTGTTCTTCATCTTCAGATCACTTTGAAACTTCAGCCTTGCCTTGAGAGAAATAAAAAAGCTGTGGCAGTAGGGACTAAATTGTGACTAAATAAGAGAAACAGCTGAGCGAGAAAAAATAAATACTTACCCTTTAAGTGACCAAAGCAGAGATAGAAAAGAAAAAGTCTGGACAGCATGTTCAGCGATTCCAGCTCTCTCAGTCACACTGCTGTTTTTTTTTTAACTTTTTGGCTGCTGCTGTAGTTTCTCTGTGGGCGGTTCATGTATGATGATGACAATGGAAAGGCTTGGAAGAGTTTGACTCACCTAGATGCGAAGCTTTGCTTTATGAAGGTGTCTTTTGTCACCTTTGATCTCATACATTTGAAGTGTGTTTAAGGTAATGCTTATACATCAGTAGGAGAAAAGAGCAGTGGCCTTTGCTTTGCATTTCAGAAAGAGGAAGCCTTAAAAATTTGAATCTTTGTTAAAAAGAGTAAGTCTCATAAGAAAGTTATTGAACATAAATATGAAAGTAATATGTAAAATATCTAATAGGTTAAATTTCTTTAAGAAGGGGATCATGGCGCTGATTGAAAACAGAAATGATTCATTTTGTTCTAGTTTTAAACTCAAAAAGCATAAAGGAAATGTGTGGGCCAGACCGCTACTGATACTGTGAAAAACACAAATGTTGTGGAAAACAGTGTGTGGAAGATCCTTTTCTTAGTCAAACCTGTAAGATATACATAGGGGCTTGGTCAGGTTAATGAGGACAAAGTGTAGGAGAGTCTATAATCTTCAGAAGCTCTTCCATATCCAAGTTCCATCTCTCTGATGTCTCAGCTCAAAGGAGAAACATTCATCAGAAACCTTTCGAGCTTATGAAAAAGTTGAACCTTGATGCAATGAGATAAACTGGACATGTAAAAGTTTGGTATTTGTGGTGGAAAAGTGAGAAACATATTTAAACACTTTTGCTCCTTTGTGTGCCTGAAAAATTAGTTTTTCCTAATGTTTCTTAAATTTATAATTTACTATTTATCATATAATCCCAGGGGCCTACGTCTTGACCACCCAGAAAAACACCAGACTGTTATCAAGTATTCAACTTCTCTAATATAATGCCTACACAGACCAAAGAGAAAAGATGCCTTTAAACCAAACAGAATCCGATAGCTAAATTTCTCTCCTGTAAACCCATATGTTACAAAATGGATGGGAACCTATCTTCCTTTTCTAAAAATACACCCAATAGCCAGGGGAGGCCGTTTTTACCTGAGGGATTCTTTATACAGGCAAGTTTACTTAACAGGGTTCAAATACAGTACTTAACTTCAATTCGGTCTTTCCAGGCGATCTGGACAAGGACCTCTCGGGTCTTTGTGTTCTTGTCTCTTGTTGTCCCTCCAGTACCTCTCTCTGTTTCTCTGCACCTGCATGTTTTATGCTCTGTTTCTAGACTGCTGACGATAAACGAACTTAATTAAGGCAAACAAGGTAAATTTCAAGAATTGCGTTGATCAGTGAATCTCACACCTTCGCATCTCAGCATCTCAGTAAACATCTCCTCGCTTTGAAGCTCTTGAGAACAGGAAACATTGACATTAGCTAGATGTTACCCATTGTATAGTGGATCCTTAAAGGCGCTTGAATAGTCGCAATAGCTGTAACAATATTAAAGCAAGGTTTTCACTTAAGCAACATACTGTTCTCATGCAGATGAGATTTAGAAAATCAGTGTGCACCTCTATTAATTCTACTGCAGGGCTTAATTTTTCCATCTTTTTTGCAAATCTTCTTAGTAACGTGATGCAGAATTGCAGAGACGTGTAAATAATATGGAATACTAAAACAGAAAACAAGTTTATCAACGTCATCTGTCATTGACCTGGTTAATTTTTCATTGAAATTTAAGTTGCCCTTATTTAACTGGATTTTAGAATGAGACTGTTTTACGAGGAAAATCCAAGAACCAAATCCTTTGTGAACGTGTATTGAGGATTTTAACTGTGGTAAGTTTTGGTTTAACGTTTTAAGGGGCAGCCCTTTGGCCGTGGGACAAGGAGGCTGGAACCCCATTCAGAGAAAAAAGTTAACAAGTTAAGTTTAATATGAGAAGAGTTGTGAGTGTTACAGTATATATACAGTATATATTGAAAGGCAGTAATGATTGTGATTTAAGACAGCTGTATGAAATTGGCTTTTTCGATAGTTATCCCTTCCAGACTTCAGTTAAACAAATTCCATTTCAAAAGTATAAATCGCCATTTTGTCCCAAGTGGGACTGAAGGACACCTCACGTGACCAAAATATTTTTTATTGTTTCTCAAACTATCGCAAATGCAAATGACCCCCAATATCCTTACAATACAACCATTAAGTTTGTTTTCATAGCAACGAAACTAGTTTGTAATAAACAAATCAGCAGCATAATGCTGACAACAGCACTTCAGACAGAAACTGCAAAGTGGGTGTCTTATAATTAATTACTTGCAACATCAAAACACAGCACCACAGATTTTATATCACAAGACAAAAGGCAACCTAAGCTTTTCAACAGCGTGTTTCATAACCAGATACGACAGCATAAAGCAAATGTATCGGGATATATAGGGATCGGGATATTTATCTGGCATATCAGTTTAGCGAAGTTACAAAGTCCATCGATAATTTATTAATTCACCAGCAAAATACAATCACAAAAATAAAAATTCGCCAAAATGCATAAAAACTTGTGTCTCCTTCCTATAAAAAAGTAAATTTGCAGAGTAAAATTTAGTCCTGTGTGCTAAGGAAATATAAAAAAACAAGAATTGGGTGCTAAAGACCCCATTATTTTTTTTAATCCAATACAGAAAAAGATGATCTAATAGTTAGAAATAGCTGTCATTCAGTGAATTCTAACCATTCAGAGACTTAGGGAGAGTGCTTAGCTGTCCTTTTATTTTTGCCTGTCAATGAAGTTAATAAATATCACATACAGTAGCCTCTTGTCATTCTGTCATAAATAAACACATACCTGTAAAGGTGTGCAAAAATGTGCAAACCACTTTTTTTCTCTCCATAAACATCATACAATAGACTATCAATGTCATATGTCAATGCAATAGAAAAAAATAATTAATACTTTTCAGTATTTTCTGTTATTTATTTAACATTTTTGGGAAGGTGGAGAAAATCATTCCATGTCCAGTCTTCATAAAAATCCATCACTCGCAAATTTGTATCCAAGGTAGAAGACACATTAGAGAAGACCTGAAAGGAGAAAATTACATCATAATTTAGGTAGCTGTGTCACAACCTGATATATTGCCTTTTGAAGAAAGACAATACAACTTGTTTGTTGTTTTATTATGTTTTTGTTGATTTCTTTCTAATGTATGCATTGAGTAAAACTTTTTAAAAATCTGGAGGCTCAGGTTGGAGGTACTGTACAGGGAGTGTCCCTTATTTAAAGACCCTGACCAGGCTTGTACTCTGTATCCTTTCCAAGTTAATTCAGGATTATCAAAGGGTACATCCTTTCCCAGAATACACTGACTTTGAGTTTCATTTAGGGGTTAAAAAGGATAATCTGAGCCCTAGAGGAATAATCCCACTCTCAGGGGACTTGCTGTCTTAAATTCAGAATTTCATAATTGTGACATCTTTCGGCTAAAAGACATCTCTCATTGTTTAGAGGTGCTCTATTATGGAATAGGAAAATTGGATCATTTAAAATCTGTTTAAGGTAATGATTTAATCCTGGGCAGGATCCTTCTTTGATAAAACACCCATTTGTAGGTGTCTGGATGTCAAGGAGAATTCTGTGTTTTCTGCAGGTGGTAGAACTTTATTAACTCACAATAATGTAAATATCTGTATACTGTATAACATAACTTAAATGTTGAGTGATATATTTGTGTAACTTATTGTAATAAATATTTGTTTATTGATAGCCATTTTGTTCACACACCTGATGTCTAATGACTCCTCTGTAGTCAAAGATGCAAACTACATTGCAATTAGCTTGCTTTTCTGTTCTGTTTTTGTTTTCATTTGTAGTCTATTTTAAGGTTTTTAAATTGTTATCACTTATGTTTAATTTACTATTTAGGACAATCGGTAGTGTGGACAGTCTAAAACAGAATTTTAAAATGGACTAGAAGGACAAAATAACCACCTGTCATTTGTTACCTTTCTTAAGTTCTTAAGTCCTTATGCGTGCATTCTTTCCCTGTTGTCTTTGTATGAAAATAAAATTAGGATGTATTTGATAAGGCTGGCACTGTATGTAGGATGTTTTATTTTCTGTAAAGTTCTTTATTGATATACAGTATGACTTTGTCCATCAAAAAGGGTGGAAATCTGTCTTCAGCATCCCCATACAAAACTATAAAAAAATGCACTCAATTTAAAATAAATACATGTTAAAAACAAATAATATTCCTAGCCATGCAACAATACATATTCACAGATCTCTCTCCGTCCATATTACACTCTCATTACACTAATCCGATAGATTCACATACAGTAGGAAACAGTCACTTAGCTAAGTTTAAGATACCAGTTGCACAGGGAACAAAATATTTATTGTACTGTATACATTTTTCTGATCCATAGACATTCTAAACCACCTCCTGAAGGTAGCAGTTGAAAATGGGAAAGAATAGGGTGGGGATGATCTTCAATGACAAACTGAGCTTTGCTTTAAACTGCAATATAATAAAGCTTTTGAGGCAGTTTTAATAAGTATAGGACTCTATAAGAATATGTCAACTGAATTGATCGATACTTGTGACTTTGCAACATACTGTATTCTGTACATAGATAACATCTACTGCAGTATACCTATTGTAGTGGAAAATGCTTGAACGACTTCTTTAATCGTTTAATTCAGAGATAATATAAGCACTGAAGAGATTAAGGGATGAGCACATGCTGTACAAATTGTCCTTAACACTTCAGTATTATTTTATTAAAAATACGAAAATAAATCACACATTTAGTTTGCAAAACTAAGCTGCTTTTTTCTTCTTTTTCACATTTCTAATTGTGATATTTGCAACAACAGCATACACTGGTAGTAGTTTCCCTTTATAGTGGAGTAGAGATAAGTTGTTCGCTCTAGGAAAAACGCATCAAAAAACACCTTTGTTTTTTAGAACGTGTACCTCATTTCCTGTTCTTTTGGGTGTTTCTCTGAAATGTATGAGATAAAGGCACTGACCTCAATAATCATTAATTTTACAGAGGAACTGAGCACTCTTGTCATTTCCTCTCTGTCATCTTGTCAAAAATCAAGCTGATATACTTA